TTCCCGAACTACGTCGACTTTGATTTTCTCATATCCGTTGAGAATGCGTAGGCCTAGGACCGCGAAGTCCTACCAAGTCCGTTCTTTCCCTTCTTCCCCCCGTTACCTTTCTTTCCCCGTTTCTAAACCCTTTTTCACTATCCCGTGGAACACTTTTATAACATAAAATTTAAGCAAATAAATTCACATAGCGACAAACAAATGGTTCCCATCGAGTACAATGGATGCGAGGGGTGCTAATACCTTCCCCTCGCATAACCGGCTTCCGAACCCGTTCTTGGTCGCGAGACCATCTTATCCGTTCTTTTCTTAAGGTTTTCTCGATATTTTCCTTTCCCCTCATGGGATAAATAAAGTTCGGTGGCGACTCTTCTGTCTTTTTTCCTTTTCGCCTTCCCCGTCGTTGCGCGTATTTTTCAAGTAGCGATAGTGTGCTTTCCTTTGCTTTGTGTATTATCTTCTCTCATATTTACCTCTGTCCAATGACCCTTGAGTTTCATTCAAGATGGTTTGGTCCCTCCTTTGGAGGTACCTTGAACATGTCATGAATAGTGATTCTTTGAGGACTCTTTTGTGCTCTTTTGCATGATTCTTGTAGTGCTTATGGTTGAGTGACCTATATGAGTTCCTTGTTGTACTCATCTCATCCCCCGTTCCTATTTGGATTATGGCTTCTTCTCTTTTCATGTGGTTTGCCTTTGGGCATTGTAGTTGATGGTAATGGTTGTAGGATTTATTCTCTTATTTCATCCCACTTTTGTGTGCACTTGCTTGAACTCTTTTGTGTGCATTCCTTCTCCTTTGTTCTTGCATCTCTCATTTGCATGCTTGGGGTTGATATGTGCTTATGGAGGCTACTTCCCCGCAATTTTTTCCTCCCTCACTTCATTCTAATTGTGCATTACATGTTTGCATATTTACTTCTTCTTTTGTTTCCTTCTTCTTTCTTCTTTGCCATGTTCCCTTAGGACCTCTAATCTCTTTTGTTTAAGAGAGGTTATGATAGAACTTAGGTTTTAACCCATGCATGATAACATTAGGTAGAATTCCCTTTTATCCCAATCATAGGTACACTTTGCATGAGAACATTAGGTTGAGTCTTAGTCTCCCTTTAGAGTGTCTTTCTCTTCTTATCTCAAAACTCGTTCAAAACACATAATAAAGGATAATGAATGTTGTACGTTATGAGCCTTAAGCATTTGGGGAATGATGATTGGGGGGCTTCCTCTCAATTGTCTAGAGTGTTTAGCGTATGTCCTTTGGACGATATGTGACGCATTCGTTCCTAAGTCATAGTCTTTAGTGCAACATGAGTTACAAATCAAACTCAATTCATTTCTTCTCTAAAAAACACAAAAAACAAACTTCAAACTTTTTTATCCTTCGGGATCTTAATTTGGAAAACCTTTTTCATAAGGAGAGTTTTGTTAACTCTTGGTTCTACCGCAAACAGGTCACGCCTACGTGTCCAATGACCGAGCTGCATACACCTAACTGCTAGAACTAAGTTTTAACCCTACTCGGGTAAAACATTTTTAACCAACCGGTGTTCTTGTTAGCCCGAACTACGTTTTCTATGATTTCTCATACCAGATGAGGATACGTAGGCATAAGACGACAATATCTTGGCGAGCAACCTTCCCCACCTTTCACCCATAGTTTTCCGAACTACGTTGACTCTGACTTTCCTATTGCACGAGGGAATACGTATGCATAGAGCGGAGATGCTCTATCGAGTCCCTTTTCTTTTCTTTTGTCCCTGAGCCGTAGCCTAGATAGTTTCAAAACCCTTTTAGATAGACAACAAGCGTGGATTCCGTCGAGTACGACGTACGTGAGGGGTGCTAACACCTTCCCCTTGCGTAATCGACTCCCGAACCTAGGATTTGGTTGCAATGACCAATCTTATCCCCGTTTTCGTAGGTTTTCTCTGATCGTTTCCTTTCCCTCTTTTTGGGATAAATAACGAACGATGGCGACTCTTCTGTCCTTGCGGACCCTCTTTTTCGCAGTAGCGACACTAGTAACTTGTTTGAAGTATAATTTTACTCAAACTACCTTGTCCAAATCGAAGCTCGAGGTTGAAGATCGTGAAAACGGTTATAGAAATTGACTTGATCTCAAGGCTTGATTTTAGTTGGAGAAGGTTTAGAGGATACCGATAAAGCTTTCTGGGCAAGGAAATGAGATCAAACGAGCTTGGTTTAGTGCAACAATTTGCTAGTTTTAAAGTGAAGTTGCAGAGAAAATGGCAGGGTTTTTGTGGCTTTCCAAGCTTTCATATGAAGGCAAAATGATGCTCTATTTATAGGAAAAGGAGTGAGGTCATGGTACGTTCCAAATTGGATCCCAAATGTGTGAACCAAGTTGAGAAAATTCTACATCCAAACCGTGTGAGAAATTGGCATGAAATGCATGAGTTGTGATCATTTTTAGGTCGTTTTGGGTAGTCGTGAACATGTTTTTCACTAAGATACACGTTTTCACATGGTTTGGGTTGTCCCAAGATGAATTTTACATCATTACCAAATGTAGGTCACGGTACAAAACGGATTTTAAGTCACCATGTTCATGCTTAGACAAAATGGAAACCACTCATGCATTTTGTGATTTTCTTCAGGCCAAATGATCTTCTCATGGAGGAGAGTATAATTCAAAAAGAACCAACTCAAAAGGATGCTTGAGGTGAAAATGACATGAGTTGAAAGTTGAGATCTTGGTACTGAATAACCTTGAGGATTTCTTGAGAGTTGAATCAAAATGGCATGGAAATAAACACATGAACCATACTTGAATCATCTTTGAATTTATGCATCAAAATTGAACTTCTTTTGATCAAATGATGTTGAACGAAACTTGAAATGAAGATGGGATAAAGTTATAGGCCATGGCTTGAAGAGAAAAGCTTTGTGGACCACTTTTTGACCAAAACATTGACTTAGGGAACCAAAACCCTAATTTAGAAACCAAGCTTGATTTATAGATTGCAAGTCCCTACCTTGTAAAAGAAGAAAGAGGAAATACCACATATTTTTTGTATTTGAAATAATTTTAATGATGTTAGAATATAAACAAGCAAAAGGATGACAAGTAAATACAAAGGGTGTTTGGTTATCTCCCACAAAGGAAAACCCAAAGAGAGTGGGTTAGGAGGACACTATGCTTGTGACTTGATGAAATGCAAATGATATGATATGTAGAATCTTAAGGGTAAAAAATTAGGGTATGACAGATGCCCTTATTTAAGTTTCTTCTTTCTGAAGATATGAAAATTGGAAATCTCTGTATCGACGTGAATGAAGATACTTAAAATGCATAATATACGGGGAAGACGCTATAGGAGACACATTATGCATAGACAAATTACAAATTTAATACTGTTGGAGAAAAACTTGAGGAGGTCCCGACAGAGAGACATAACTCATTAGAGAGCTACACAACAACGCAAGGGCCCATATCGGGGAACAAAGTAATGTATAGCCAGAAGCGGGAGAGCTAGCAAGCGACAATGGAAAACTCCACTAGGGAATATGCCTTAAGGAAAAACACTAAAACTACTGGAGAAACGACCCATGAGTAATTAGTTAGAGAAAAAGATTACTACTAACTCATAGTTGAAGGTAGTAAACATGATAATACCAACTCATAGATGGCAGTAAAGAAACATGTAATATCGACTCATGGACGACGGTATACTACCAACTCATAGGCGAAGGTAGTGACAGGATTTAAATTGATAATAAGCTTCCTATAACTTTCGGTCTTCCACCTGAAACGGGGCTCAACTTCTTCTTTAACCAAACCTTCCACTTGGAAAGGGTAAATAACAATAACTTATAAGTCCATGAAACAAACAAGTCGAATCTAACGAATTAAACTTAACGAGCCGAATCGAGTTGTTCGTAAACTTAAAACGAGTCGAATTTGACCTTTAAAAAAATTGTATTGAATTTAAGTCGAGTCTCAAACTAAACCAATTATATTGAATCGAGCCGAAATCAGACGAATTTGACTTAACTCGACTCAACTCATTTTCAGCTCTACTAAGGACAAAAAAAAAAAATCTATTTTTCATATTAGCAATAACTAAAAACAATTTTTAATTAGGACTAAAAGTAAAATAATGGGGCACTTGCATAGATTAAAAGTATATTTAAATATGCTATACTATTCTTTTTTATAAATAAACCTAATATAAAATAATAAATAAAAGGAAATGGGAAGAGATTATTTTTTGGTGAGCTTCTTGCCCTGCATTTTTAATTTATAAAATAATAACAGTGTGTATAATATAGACAATGTATATATATTACATTTTTACATAAAAAATATCAGATTATTATTATTTTATTAATATTATTATTATGTTCTTATTTTTTCTTGAGGCATTTAACTCTCCCAAATAAAATTGTACATGTCTAAATTAAAATTACAAGGTTTCATTGTTTATAAAAAAAATTTATGTTTATTCATTGATGGTATAATTTTATTTTTGTTAAATATTTATCCAATCATATCATTATATTTATAAAAATATTTTTAAAACTAACTTAGAAAAGTAACATCATTGTATTTTTTTCTTCATATATAGACATTAATATCTAAAAGAAATCTGAAATGCCAACAATTAAATATCGTTATTTTAAATTTATTTTAAACTGTTTTTTTTCGACTGAATAGATATATTTTTACTAAACATATTTGGTAAACAAAAAATTCAAATCAATTTATTTTTTAATAAAATCAAATCAAATCTTCTTTTTTTGGAATAAAATCAAATAAAATCTTTAAAATAGGTATAATAGTCAACATATGTATATATTTTTCCCAAAAGAGTAATAAGCAATTGATTAAACAATATTGACTGATTTTCATGTTCTAAGTTTCCGTTGTTCTTATCTTTGTATATCAATTTGAATAGTTATAAAAAACAATGAAAAGAATATAAATTGGGAGATAACAAGTTTTCACTCAAATCACTAGAACAATTCTTTATAACGATGTCACATTTTTCGTTTTTTTTACCTTTATTTTGTTTTTGTCTTTCTTTCTTAATAGTTATTTCTCATTCTATAAGAAATGGTTTTAGTATTGAACTCATTCATCGTGATTCTTTTAGATCGCCTTTCTACAATCCTACACAAACAGAATTCCAACGAATTTTTAATGAAGTGCAACGTTCTATCAATCGTGCAAATTATATCAACCGAGAATTTGCGCCAACTAAAAACAAACTTGAGTTATCTTTGACCTATGATATTGCTGGTGAATATCTCATGACTTATTCGGTTGGTACCCCACCATTTAAAGTATATGGTTCTTTAGATACCGGTAGCGACTTAATTTGGCTCCAATGTAAGCCTTGTAATATATGTTACAATCAAACCTCTCCTATATTTGATCCTTCAAAATCTTCAAGTTATCAAAATATTCCATGCTCTTCTAGAACATGCAAATATATGGAAATTACTTCTTGCTCTTATGACAGAGATGCTTGTGAGTATACCCTTGAATATGACCCTGGATCTAAGACACAAGGAGATCTTAGTATGGAAACTCTTACATTACATTCCACTACCGGCTCTATTGTCTCGTTCCCTAAAACTGTGATAGGATGTGGACACACGAACACTTGGTCATATTCCTATAAGGGTAAAAGTTCAGGTGTTATTGGTTTTGGAAAGGGCGATATGTCAATTATAAAACAATTAGGATCTTCAATTGATGGTAAATTCTCTTATTGTTTGATTGTCAATGATTATTACAAACAATCTAATTTATCTAGCAAACTCAATTTTGGAGATGATGCTATTGTGTCGGGTGATAAAGTTGTTTCAACTCCCATGGTCAAAATGATTGGAAACCGCCAAAAGGATCATTACTACCTAACATTGGAAGCTTTTAGTGTAGGAAATAAAAGAATAAAGTACAAAGGGTTTAAACGTGAAGGAACAAACGCATCTACACATAACATCATTATTGATTCTGGTACAACTGTAACTATTCTTCCACGTCATTTTTTTAACAGACTAAAATCTGCTGTTAAAAAATTAGTTAAACTAGAACGCTTTCAAGATAACAGTGGTTCATATAGCCTTTGTTATAATACCACTTCTAAACAACCAAATTTTCCTGTAATTACTGCACATTTTAGTGGTGCAGATGTTAAGTTAGACTCAAATGGTGCATTTGCTTCTATCCTTGAGGGGGTTAAATGCTTTGCTTTTCGTCCAAATAATTACGGATTGGGCCTCTTTGGATGCAAGGCACAAATGAATCATTTGATTGGTTATGATCTCAAAAAAAATATTGTCTCATTCAAACCTACTGATTGTACTAAGTATTGAATGAGTGTGGACATTGATTATCAAATTTGATAAATTGATAATAAAATTTATATTTTGTTTTATATCTCTTTCAAAGCATCTCTAATTGTATTTTTTAAGGATTACTTTGAGTCTCCTACACTATTAATAAGTGGTATATATAATGTTGATGTTGGGTATCAGAGTAGCAAGATAAATGTCATAAAAATAAGAGATTAAGGAGTAGGAAAAGTGACACAAAATATTTTCGTGGAAAACTCTCAACAAATGAGGGAAAAACCACAAGCACCGGTAGAAAATATTTTCACTAAGAGGAAGAAATTATAACACTTCTCTTTATATATAAGAAGAGAACAAATTGCACTCTCTTGTAATAGGAGAGCACTCACTAAAAGAGCCTTATAGGAGAAAATAAAATATATTATATCTCTCTAAATTTTTTCTTTTATGTTATGTTGCAATGCTTTGTGTTGTTGTGTTAGGAATGAGAAATATACCTCTATTTATAGGTGCTCATCTTCACAAAACTATGGGATTTGTTACACAACCATGGATGTAAAACCATGGGTGTTTCTTTATTGGTCCATAAATTGTGACTTTATTCAACCACAATCCTTAACCATAATCTTTGACCATGACCACAAACTTTGACTATAACCACAATCTTTGACAATCTCCCACTTAAAGTTACATTTGTGATCTTTCAAAATCTTCTCTACCTTGCCAACTCCATGCTGATTATGCCTCTAATAGGCCATTGGAAGACCTACACCATGCAAACTTATCAAGTTAATCGGCTTCGTCATTGCATCTGCTAGGTTATCTTGAGTGTAAATTTTCTGCATATCCACACTTCCTTCTTCTACTACCTCTATAAAAAAATGGTATTGAACTCTTATGTGTTTTGTCCTAGCATGAAAAGTTGGATTCCTTGCAATCTGCAAGGCACTCTGAATGTCACAGTACACAGTAATCTTTTGTTGCTTGTTCCCGAGTTCTTCCAATAACCTTTGAATACAACTTTAGTAGTAGACAAAGCTACAATAGTATGCAATTTTAATAACCAGTTTACCGCTCCTCTTGCAAGTGTGAACACATAACTAGTAGTAGATTTTCTTTTATTAAGGTCGCCTATAATATCTGAATCAACATAGCCTCTGATAGTGAATTTTGATCCCCCAAAACATAATGCAGCACTTGAGGTTCTTTTGATGTATCTAAGGATCATCTTAACAACATTTTAGTATTCTTTACTTGGATCTGCCAGAAACTGACTGACTGTTCCAACTGCTTGAGAAATATATGGTCTAGTGCATATCATAGCATACATAAGGCTTCCCACCGCTGATGCATACGGTACTCGAGACATTTCTATCCTTTCTGCTTCTTTGCTAGGATTCATACTTGAGGATAATTTATAATTGACAGGAACTAGGGTAGAGATTGGCTTACAGTTTTGCATGTTAAAGCTGCGCAAGACTTTCTGAAGATAATTTTTATGAGTGTTGCACCCTAAAATTTGCCCACCGATTTTCTGACTTTGACTAGTTTTTTGCTTCGTTTTCATCTGCATATCATTTAGATCGCACCTTGCCCGTGTTATCAGCCATATTGAATTTATCAAGATTTTAGCTGCTTGGCTCGCGTTTCAAGCGATTCAAATCAATTCAAACGAGAAGTTCAGTGTCAAAATCGAGCGAAAGTCGCTCTCTTCCTGATGATTCAATATGTGCTGGTAATTTGGTGCATTTCGGTGCTCGCCCTTTTTTCCATGGCATTTTACATTTTTATGGCTATTTTTGTTTTATATTTTATTATTTAGAAGTAGTTTTTTAAATAGATTTTAATATTGTTTTTAGAAATAGATATTATTTTTAGGATAGAATTTAGGTTGTTAGAATTTTATTGGAGTTGAATAGAATTATTTTTGTTTCTATTAGAATATAGATCTTTTAGAAAATAGTTTAGATTATTTCTTTTTTTTTTTAAAATAGATTTTAGTTTTCTTATTAGAAATAGGTCTTATTAATTTTAGGATAGAAATTAGTTTTTAATTATCAGTTTTATATAGAATATTTTTTTAATAGGTTTATTAGTTAATTATTAATTTTCAATATTATTAGATATTATTAATTAGCTTTAGTTTATTTAATTAGGAGTTAATATTTAATTGTTTACTAGTTAGATTTATCATCTATTTATTTTTCTTTTTTAAATTCAGCATGTTATTAATTAATTATTTGGTCATATAAGTCAGCTTTAACTATGCAACATCATCATTAACGGTTTCTTAGTCAGATTTAGCAAAATTATTAGCCTTGCCATGTGTCATAAGTCTGTATATAAGGTTACTATTCACTGTCTCCCTTCTCCCAACAACCCTAATCTACGCCTTCCAACCCTCACCATCCTCATCTTCTGCAACTTTCACAATCTTCATCCAAACTTCATCTTCACCATTATCAAAACTCCATCGTTCTTGAACCTCCAAAAATCCATCTGAAACTCGTCACCATCAAACCTAGTTTCCTTTAGAACAAACAACTTCATCATCTTCAACAACATCAAACAAACCTCTCCCAAATCTTCCAAAACGACACTCAGACTCCAATCATCAAGAACAACAAACAACATTCAAACTCACCTTCAAACATTATCTCCAATCGTGTCTCATCACAATCTGCACCCCTCCGTTTCTATCACACCCTCCCCCTGTTTCATTTCTTTTTTTGAAATATATTATATACTTTATTACGTATTTTACTGACTATTTTTTGTATATATATTGTTGTTATTATTAATTATTATGTATATTATACTAACTGTTTTTTATGTATATATTATAATTAATTATGTTATATATTTTCATTTTGTTAATATTACATTATTTTCTTTTAGAATTTATATATATTATACTTATAGAAGTTTATTATTTTTCTATTTGAAATTTCAATTCTATTTTCTTTTAGAAGCTTATACTATTTTTTTAGAGTTGAATTCTATTCCTCTTTTGTTATTGGGCATTTTGTCCCATTTTCATCTGTTTTGGTCGATGACGAGACCTTTTTCATTTATCCGTCAAATTGTTGACGAGAAACGATAGATCCGAGACCTCTCTCTTTCGCTTTCAATTTCCGACTTAATTTCGTTTCTTTATTTCATTTCATCCGTTTTGGTCGATGACGAGACCTCTGTAAGTGGTTATTAATCAAATTGTTGATGGATAATGTTAGATCCGAGACCACCTTTTTTTTCTCTCCTCATCTCTCGATTTTATTTTAACTTTCTGTGATAGATGAAGTCTTGTATCCGCAAGACGAGATCCCACTGTTTTTGGTCCGTGCGACACAATTCAAATGGAGAACGGTCCTCAATATCGTTTCTCTATCTTGTCCATAGCACGGATATCAATACGCGACCTCCTATTACTTGACTCCCCTTATAAGTCGAGCTACGACGGTTTAGCTTCACATTGGTCCCGATTCAAAACATCATCATCAAGGATCAAAGAGGAGAAGCTTGGAAATAAAGCTTGCACGCAATGTCAAGGGTAAACGGAACCACTCAGTTTGGTAACATCTTTATAATTCAATCTTTTTATTCAACCGTCGAGTGTTGTGAGCCGTAAGCGATAGATACGTGAGAAATGGTGAGTGGGGAGCCTCTTCTCATTCATCTAGAGTGTTTAGCGTATGTCCTTTGGACGATATGCGACGCATTTGCTCCTACGTCTTAGGTTTTTGTGTGTGCGTCCCGATCCGAACCTTTTCTCTCGCGATTGAGATCCCTTTTCTCTCGCATCCTTGCGATTGAGACCCTTTTCTTTCGCATCCTTGCAATTGAGTCCCTTTTCTCTCGCACCCGTGCGATCGAGATCATTTTTCCGTAGTTAGCCGAACTACGGCTGCTCTGATCTCTCATATCTTTTGAGAGTACGTAGGCATAGGATTGCGATAATCCTAGCGAGCACTTGTCCCTCTTTCCTGTAGTTTGCCGAACTACAACTGCTCTGATTTCTCATACCAGATGAGAATATGTAGGCACAAGACGTGATATCTTGGCGAGCACACTAACAACTAACTTCTCTTTTCTCTCGCCCCAGTGCGATCGAGACCTTCCCGCTAACGACTAATATCCCTTCTCTTGCCTCAGTGCAATCGAGACTAGCCTGTTATTCTAAACCTTTTAGGTAGACCATACCTTTTAACCCGTGGACATGCTACGTATGTTCTACCGCATATAGGTAACGCCTAATTCTCCAATGGTCGAGCAACAATACATCTAACTGCTAGAATGCGTACGCTAGTATCGTCTACCTAAACCTTTTCTCTCTCCCCCGTGTGATTGAGAACACCCCATTTTCCCGTAGTTGCATGAACTACGTTTTGCTTTAATTTCTCATTCCAGATGAGAATATGTAGGCACAAGATGCGATGTCTTGGTGAGCAATCCCACCCGGTAGTTTCCCGAACTACGTTGACTCTGACTTTCCCATTGCACAAGGGAATACGTAGGCATAGGGTGACGATGTCCTATCGATTCAGTTCTTTCCGTTAGCTTTAGCAGCTGTAGATAGTTTGTTTTACACCCATATACTAGACAACAAGCATGGATCCCGTTGAGTACAATGGACGTGAGGGGTGCTCATACCTTCCCCTTGCGTAACCGACTCCTGAACCCAAGATTTGGTTGTGATGACCTGTCTTTTCCCTTTTTGTAGGTTTTCTCTGATCGTTTCCTTTCCCTCTCTTTGGGATAAATAATGAACGGTAACGACTCTTCTGTCTTTCGCCGGCTTCTTTTTTCGCAATAGCGACAACTGGCGGCTCTGCTGGGGAACTTTTCCCATCCCCTATGCGAGTCAATCCTAGCGCTTGTTTGCTTGTCTTTGGGTGTATTTATATTTGTGTGTTGTATTTGTATATTGCTGTATTTACATTTTCTGTACTATATCATTATATGTTGCTGTTGTGTTGTTGGGTGGATGTTCCTTTGAGAGATAAGCTGAAACCTAGGCTTAA